CCTTTTTCAAAACGTGGTTTTTTAGATTAATTTTTTATTCTACTAAATTTTTTTGTGCTTTTTAGTCTTACTTGAAAAACGTGGTTTTTTAGATTAATTTTTTAATCTACTAAATTTTTTTGTGCTTTTTAGTCTTACTTGAAAAACGTGGTTTTTACATTAATTTTTTAATCTACTATAATTATTTCTTGGCTTTTCTTTCCCTACAAGGATTGTCCCACTTATTTGGGACATGTCTGAACATTTTTCCGGCCAGTTGAAAATTTAAATTTCACTGAAAATCTGCAAAAACAGCAAAAAAAAAATGGGACAATCCTCGCACACCGCCGTTTCCCTCCTTTTCCGTCCTCTGCACAATTGACCCAAATTCCCATCCCATAATTTTGAATCTGCCTCGCATTATACCAAGGTGACCTGACTGATCGGGAGCCATTACATTACTCCAAGTCTATATACAGTACATTATATATATACAGCTAGTAGTGTACGCTTTTATTATACACGTTGACCTCGTTTGACCCTCTTGGACGTGGCAGAGACCGTAGTGACCTGGTTCGCAGTGTTCGTGTTGCCCATTAACCCGGCCATCAATCCGATCCTCTACACCTTCTCCACGTCGCGATTTCGCGGGGGATCCCGGTCCGCGGTCCTTCGCGGAGCCTCAGTCAAGTTCCACCAGGCCAACGTGAGGCGGGTCACCGCCGACGGTAAATAAAAGGACTCGGGGGGGGGGGGGGGAAAGCCCGAGATGAGAAAAACACTTTCCTTTTACAGTACAATGTAGTAAATTTTGTTCTTCTATTTTTCCTTTCATCAGAAACGGACGCCGTTTCCGCTGCAGCGACGACAACAACGACTACAACGGCGTCCAGGACGAACGAATCTCGGCCCGCCGACTACATCATCAGTAGCACGCACAATAATGATCACGCCTGAAAGAACTTTCGTTTCGTAACATTGTAAAGAGTATATTTCTCTTCCCTCCCCTTCCCCTGCAGTGCCAAAAATAAATACAAATACTGTATTAATGTAATTGTGAGAAAAGCCAAGAAAACAAAAATAAAATTCAGTCTTTGCACATGATGATGATGCAAGAACAATTAATGACGATGGTAGGAGTCATCGTCGTCACACGCGTTGTTCCGACTCGTGGTCTCTAAGCAGCGACTTGAGCGGCAACAAAAGTTGGTCCAACTTCGGGGCGAGACTTATTATTCCGGGCTCGAAAACCTGCGAATCAATCAAGAGACACCTTTTCTCTCTATCTCTCTCTCTGTGTGTTCAACGGAAGGCATCACGAAAGAATCACGGGGCTTCTATACCGACGACGACGACGAAGACGATCGCCGTTTTGAACCAGCCACAATCCCACAAATTTCAAAATTACATTTTATTCGAATTGCACAGGTGCTTGGGAATTTCACGCCTGAGAGACAAAAATGCAACAACAAACGTGGTCAGACTCGTTCAATGTGAAACTTATTGAAACCAAGCCGAACTAAACACGACGTATTGTCAGGGGCTCTTCTTCAGAAGCCAAAATATCTTTCTTTCAATGCTGTACATCGCAAACAAACAAACTTCAGAACAGCGGCGGACATTGGGCGTTGAAGTGAAAAAAGAAATTCCAATTGTTTTCACCCTCTCCGAAAAAAAAGGATAAGAAAATAAAAGAGTGAGACAGAAAATGTAAGAAAGAAAAAAAGACGAACCTTGAGCTGATCACCGAACGAAGCAAGCACGGACTTTTGCTTGGACTCCTCGAGGGCACTGTACAAGGCCAGAGTGCCCTTGGCCAGATGCTTCAACTGGCTTTCCAGGGAAGACCTCACCTTCTGCACGCTCTTCAGTTCTTCCCTGGACGCGGATTCCCTCGCGAGGCATTTCTCCAGCTCACTCTTGGTCCTGGAAAGCAGGACTTCGGCGTCGTCCTTGGCCGACTCTGTCCTCTCCAACGCCTGCACAATTCAAAGTCATCGGTTTCGCGCAAATTCAATTATTTTGACCGAGAGAGAGTGAGTGAGAAAAGAAAACCCACGTTCTCCAACTCCATCAACCTCTGCTGAGTGCTCTGACTGACCCCCTGGGACGCGGGCAGGACGGAGGGCTTCCTCATCGTCGGCGAGCAGTTGCGCAGGTCCTTTTGGTTCATGGTGGAAAGCAGAGAGCAAGCGAGGTCCAAGTCCATTTGCCTTCTCAACAGGGCTTCCTTCAAACTGTCGATCTCGAGGTCTTTGAGCCGCAACTTCTCGTCCAATTCCAGACGAAGTCCTTTCCTCTGATCTTCGTGTCGATGGAGCGACAACAACAAGCCACCAGAGGGCGTCTGTGACTGAGGAAAGCAAGCGACAACAAAGATGACACAAAATAATCCATTGCCCCTTTTTCCTCCCCCCTTGAAATCAAGCTTACACCGAGCGATGACGAGTCACCACAACTCTCCACCTGGCAGTTTCCGCAACCTGCCTGGGTCAGGGCCTCGCTGATCTTTTCCACCTGCAAATGCCGCACTTCCAGTTCCGCCTTTTCCTTGGCGCCTCGTTCCTCGTCCAAGAGGCCCTTCAGGGCGGCCGTCTCATTCTCCCAGACGCGCTTGTGCCTCGAGAACGTTGTTCGGGTCTCGGACAACATTCTGTCCTTGTCTGCAATCATTTCCTCGCAATTCTTCAGCTCTGCTTCCCTGTATACAAATTTACTTTTCTTTTACTGCACGTCTCGTAAGTTATGTAATGTTACCCGGGGGACAAAAAAAAAAATGAGTGAGTCAATCTTCGAGTTGAAGTGTAGTTCGGAACTTCCAACTTCACATTCAAAATTCCCTCGGCAAAATAAAATCACGATATTTTTTTCACTTTACAAGTCTCATCAGCATTTCATGATCACGACGCCAATTGAGAATAAAATTATCTGGAGAAAGAAAACTTTCGTTTAAAGTGTCGTAAGAAATAAAAACTATAAATGCATATTTATTATTTTTCTTTTGGTCTACCCAGCAAAGATAATAGGTCCTTTTCGCAACAGGAAAATGGTGCATGATTATAATGCATACCTGAGGTCAAGCAGAGCTTTGAGGCTGGTCGACTGCTCCGACTGAATTTTGGCAACACTGTTTTGCTTGGTGACCTCGGCTTCGAGCGAGTCAATGTCGGTCGACAAGGCCACCAGCTGTTCCCTCGTTTCCGTCTGAAAAAAAATAATAATAAAATAGCGACGGAGTTCAAATACCAATTCCCACGAAAAAAGAACGAGAGCCAAAACATGCATTCATTATTCAGCCCACCTTGTACCAATTGAGACGTTGGTTCATTTCCTGGGACGCTTCCTCTGCCTCCAGTTTCGCGGCTTCGCACTCAATCAGCTGCGATCGCAATCGGCTTCTTTCTGTACAAACCTCTTCTAAACGCTGCTCCAAATGCTCGAGTCTTTCCTGGAACGACAGGCGTTCTTCCTGCGCGCATTTCTCGCTCTCGGCCCTTTCCGTTCGTCTCGAGTTTTCCGAGTTTTTCAGCTTCTCCCTGATTTGAAGAAAAAATAGTTTTTCCATCGAGGCACAAAATTAAATACTGTATATTCAATTTGCCTGCAGCATCTTGAAAGCAAACACCAACATGCAAGAATCAAGCTGTCCCATCAGACCAGTGGACTGCACGCGAGCGAGTTCTGCTCTTCGGTTCGCTTCTGAGATCCTGGATTCGTACTCTTCGTTTACAGAAGCCAACCTGGGGAAAGGGAACACGAAAATAAGAAAAAATGAGTGCTTCAAGTTTCATGCAACGAGACGCAGAAACGTGAAAAAAATCTTCCATTCTCGCATTGACAGACTGACCTGGCCTTATACATGGCCGTCAGTTCCTGTAACGTCTTTTGCGACGTGTTTTGCAAGGCCTCCAACTCCTCGGTTTTCGAGCAGAGAAGACCTTGCGCCAGCTTCTCCTCCAACTTCAGCTGCTCCAGCTTCGACTCCACGGCTGCAACAATCCCCATGGGACTAAAATACCAAAACAAAACAAACGGAACAAATTAATTTCGAAAGTTCAGTAGTAAAGTATGAGAAAGTATCAACCCGCACCAAGAGCAACAAAAAAAAAGAAGAGCGAGTAAACAATAGGATAATTGTCCAAAGAACAGGTGCAATCAAGAGCAAACCCAGCCGAGCACCAACTTTCACATTACAGTAGTATAGAACGTCCCTTTTATTTTGTTTGTTGAGACATACAGTAATAACCCAACTCAACAGAAAAGACAAAGAAAACAAAAAGGAACCTTTGCAATGCTGAGGCAGCTTCACCATCACCACCACTCGCATCCGCCTTATTGGGACACACCAGGACTCGTAGGTGGTCCACGGCGTCTTCTAGCTTCTTTTGCCGATTCCGCACGAACGCCTGCGTGTTGGCCACATCCCTACACGCATCTTGGGCCTTGTGACTCAGCTCCACCAAACGCTTCCAGGCTGCCGCGTCCTCGGCTGTCCGCAAGCAAATGTGCTCGTCTCTGAAATCAGAGCTGTCTCCGGGAACGGACGCCAGAACCAGGTTTGAGTGCAAATCCAACAGCGCTGTCTGCAGGACTTCCATCTTAAAACGCTTATACAGTACTCGAACCACGCGCGATAGATCACATGTTTGCGGAAGACCTGAAAAATTGAACTCAAGTCAGGAATAGTCTGATATCTTCATCACCGTGTGGACAAGCAATCAGCCCGTTCCCCAAAGAAGTACGATAGAACCAATCCTATTCGTCTCAATTTTTTTTCTTTTCTTGACTCATAAACGGTAGTTTTTACGGTACAGTACGAAATGCCACCATATTGCCAGCATTTTCATTTCAGATGGCCCATTTGCCAAACTGAATTGGAGTGGTGTTGGTTGAAAAGGGCCGGCTTACCCCGCAAAAATTTGAGCTACGGCTCAATAATTTTATGAATAGGTAATAGATCAGACTTCCTGGGAAAAACACGGAATGAAATTTTTAAAAAGGAGGAAGAAAAAAGGCAGGCATTGACGGGAAAGGATTATTCATTTCATCCCGGGCTTCAAACACAGTAGGGTAGTTCAACTAAGGCAACAACACCACTTCATCTCCGCTTCCCGGCCTTGGTGACCACCGTCCAGCCATCATCAACCTGGTCCTCGGCATCCATGGGTTCAGACGACTCACGCGTTGGTCCCTCATGATTTTGCGACGACGATGATGAAGAAGACGAGGCAATGGCCACGTTTGCCAGTCTACTCGTGATGCCCTCAGGAGCCGTCGACTCGCCACCACTGGCACTGGCACCACCACCACTCTGACTCGAGTCCAGCACGACGCTCACGTTGGCCAGGTTCGCAGGCGGCAGGTGATCAATCCGGGCACGCAACTGCTGCTCCTGACTCGAAGCCACGAGCCGGAATGCCTGTATCAAGTCCTGGCCCAGCTGCTCCAGCGTCCCATCCTCCACATACACGTCAAACTCCACGTCCATGATGTCCCCGATAAAGTCGCTCACTTCGCCCGGACACAGGTCGTCGTTGTCGGCAAAGTAGCCCAGGATGACGCCCACGAGCCAGCGGGCCTTGGACACGGTGTGAGCGCCGCTGGTCTGGTGCTGAATGGCCAGTTGCAGCGCTGGCCACGCAGACATGTACTTCTCGACGGCCTCGCGGAACAACGCGCTGTTGGCCACCACTGCCGCCGCCGCCGCCATAATGTTACAGGCCCAAGGGCTGTCGCCGACTGGCCTTGACGACCGCACGAACGCGCTTCTCGGCCAAACGCTGTCGTGCGGCTCTCTCCAACCTGTACGATACAAAAGAATACCAGCTCGTGTGCGCTATTCCGTCCTCGTGCCAACACAAGGCGACACTTACAGTCTCCGGTGCCTCTCGATGCTCTCCTCCGACGGCGGCGCGGGCTCCTTGGCAGACTCCCAAATGGTTTTCCTCAACTTGTCCAAGCAGTCGGCCAGATTCAGGTGTTGCGACCGGGTTTTGTCCGACTTGACAATGAAAAACCCGTCCTTGTTCAATGCGTTCGGGTTCTAGAAGAAGAAAAAAAAAACAATCACCGAAACGTCAACTTTGCCGTTTTTCGGGAAAAATAGAGCAAATTTTCCCCGAAAAGCGTCAGAAAAAATAAAATTTGTCGGAAAGTAATCGCAGACATGTTGGAAACCTTGTTTCAACATCCCTCGGCATATCGATCCTTGTTTTTAATCTGCCCTCGCCAATCATCTTCGGAATTCACAAGAAAACTTTGACGATGGATTCCTTACGATTGACAAGGGGTTTTTCGAAGAAAGAAAGAAAAAAAAAACTAAACCGAAACCTCACTTGTTCCACGAGTCGTTGTTTCAGCTCTTCAGATAACCACGATGCTTTGGCCACTTCGAATCTCACATCCACCTTCGATGAGGTTGTGTTGACGTGTTGGCCACCAGGTCCGCTGCTTCTCGAGCACGTGACTTGCAAGGAATCTTTTGGGCAAAAGGGAGGAAAAAAAATCTCGTCATAGACAGAGCCGCCAATCGCGAGAAAAGGCCACCGTTCCGCACTCACCGATGGGAATAAACCCAGAGAAGTTTAATCCTTTGGTTTCCGGGGGCTGTAACACAAAAACATAATCAAATCAATACGAAACTCAAACTCAGCACGCAACAAGTAAAGAATGCAGTACCTTTTGAGGTGCATCAAATTTCAAAGAACTATTGGGATAGATATCCTCGAGATCCTGCGTCGATCGCGAGGAAAAACTGTTCAGAGCAACCACTCGACTAAATCTACTGGGTGCCACAAGAATTTTGGACAATTTAGACAGCCATAATGACATACTGTCACGTTTGAAGAACACTCTCGTCCAAAACCACCTTCAGGAAAATCCAAAAAAAAACGGCGCATTTTTGAGACAAAATGAAAACTGATCCTGAGAACCCAACACATGCTATCAAAAATCGGCAATTCTCATCCCTCCGTCCTTCAATCGAGGGTATTCGTCGAGTCGAGTTTGAATTCCTCGTCAAACAATTTCCACGTCGTCAGCGGAAGGCACTTCAGCAGTCACAATGCTCAGAATTTCAGCATCATCTCCAATCACGGAACCGATCAAAACGGGATCCGAACAACTGAAACCAGATTCGAGACCAACGTGACGGCGGGCAGACAAGTGAAGCACGTCTTTCAATGTCGCCTCGTTCTCCCTATCGCAATTCCTCGGGATAATCAGCGACGAAAGTCGAGACGCAATTCCTGGCCCACATTTCTTGGAATAAGGATTCACTTCGTAAATGAGACTGCTTTTCGGTCGACAGGCTTTGGACATGGAATACTGCGGTCCTCCCGTCCAAAGAGAACCAAATGCATTGGGCACTCGGGTAATAGTGTCCAACTTTTCTGCGGCGAATGACGTGAATTCTCGTTTTGGGTCGTGCAAAAAGGTTCTTGTCGGAATGTGATCCTCATGGTCGGCAGCATACCTGCATAAACCAATTCGTTCAAGCTTATTCATTACACCATGGGTTAAAAGAGGAGACTTCATTTTCGGCCCAAACTCTTTACCCTTTTTCATCAACGACATTATCGCATCTCTTCGAATAAAACACATGGAATGATTAACATCATTGAACTATGCATAATTGATATTGCAGCCATATTATGACTCTTTTGCTTGAAATGCAGTTCTCTTCCAAGAAAAATGTCATCGATACGTACTTCTTCACCCATTTCCTGTGCTCTGATTCGCTCATTCTTGAAGCTTCTCTGAGTTAAAGTAGAAAAAATATTTTGAATATAAGATATTCCTCTCAATTGGATCCCGTTTTTAAAATACCTGCACCATACAACTAAGCTTTTCGCATGCAAAAATGAAATGAACATCCTTGGGTTCTTTCACGCATAAATGGAAACAAATAATGTTCATGAACATTTATTTCACCTTATTTTACTTCAACGCACGTACCAATCCTCAACGGAGAAGGAATCCTCGCTGGCCAGAGACGCACCAGGATACAGGAGGGCCAAGGTCCGTCGATCCGGCTTAGTCACCAGGTTCCGGAGATGAGCAAGCAACTCGTCATTGCAAATCGGGCTTTCGCGCAACTGGTCCAAGCAGCCCAGAAACCTGCCCAAATCCGTGCCAGTGACTCTCCTCAGGTTCCACCACGTTTCCGAGTCCACCATGGCCGTGACCTGGCCCTCCGACAGCCTCTGCACCCGTCCAACTTCCCACGCGGGACAGGAAACCGAGGGAAACGGCAGACACGGTCTGCGAGTCAAAGCGTGCTTCAAACAGTCTTCCTCCGTCTTTCGCAATGTCCTCCGGCGATCCTCTTCCTTCCTCGACCTTGAGCCGAGCTGGTGCAACAAGGCCTTGTCCTCGTTGCTGGACGACAAGACTTGTCCCGCCATTGCTGGGTCAGGTTTGTCATCAGCAGCACGGCGTCTCCTGAGCCGACGAAGATGACATCCGCGACGGGCCAGGCGGGCGTACAATGCATAGACACCCGGTGATACCGAAGCGCTGCCGCCATTAAGAAGCAGGGAGTACAAGTGGCGGAAGTCTGTCAGCGGTACTCGGTCCACGCAAACTACCAGTCTGGCGGTCTCCGCGAGGAACAGAGCTTCTTCGGGGAAAATATAATGCTCGAGTCTTTCGGAGAAGCCCAGGTGGGGGTATCTGAAGGGAGGGGGTGGGTATACGTATACCACACATATCCGCATAAATTCCGTCGTTTCCAATTCAAGATCCGTTCTCACCTGGACCTGATGGCTTGGTGAACGGCCACCACACGTCGCTCACTGTCCCAATGGCCAATTGCATCGTTTGCCCATTTGACCACTGTTGGCCTGTGGAAGCTGTGCTCCAGCTTCATCAGCTGGCCCACAACTTCATCCGACTCGAACACGGGATCCTCGGGCACGTTCAGCCTTTGTATCCCAGGGTTGATCAACTGTTCTTCTCCCTCCTCTTCATTCCGGATATTCAACATGAGGAAAACAGGCTTCACCTACTACCAACGATTTCACTCATTCCATACCCCTGCAGAGTAAAGAACAACAAAACATATTCCTGGGTCTAAACCGATGTTTTCCCCTCGATAGAACCAGAAACGATTTTCAATGAACAAATGGACTCGTGTTGGCAATATATTCTCACAGCCTGAAATAACGCAATCTGCAGAGCAATTAAAAAAAAAAGAACGACACTTCATGATTTCAATCGCTGTCGTCAGAAGTGGAAGAAGACATTTCGCCTTCAATTTCCTCGTTGCGTGAAACAGTTGTGGACACCTCGTTTACGCACTCCTCATCCTCTTCATCCAAAACGAAGCCCGCTTCCGGACTGTCGCACGTTTCACGGGACGCCAAAAGCAAATCAAGCGCTTCCATCGCCACCTTTTCTTGTGGGGAGAGTTCAACCCCTGTGGGGGGGGGGGGAGAAAAAAGCACAAATTAATAAAGAGCAAAAAATATACATACAGTAAATGTGTTAATTCTACTCGCTATTTGTGCACTTGCTCTTATCTATTTTGAACATCTCCTATGGCAAGCAACCACACCCAAGAACATCCTAAACCTTTAGTACTGGATGAAGTAGCGAAAATAAATCGTAGAAGCCTCACCACCACTACTTATTTGCTTCACCCTGGCGGCGACTTGGGGAATGGATGACTTCATCTGCTTGAAATCTTTTTGTTTCGTGCTCACAGTTCTGGTCAATTCTTGCAGATCCCCTGATACAAAAGTCATTTTTGAAAAATCACAGATGGCTCTCGCTTATTTTTACTAACGTTTGAGTTTCTTGACTTCGATGCTAGAGGTGCGGGCTTCTCCTTCCATGGCAGAAGCCCGAAGTCGGTCTTTCGAGATGGAACTGGTCTTTTTTTCAATGGCCCAGCCCTCGGTATTTTGCTTCGAGTCCTCCTTCAAAGAATCAACGTATTTCCGCAGTTCTTCCTCTTCAATCTCCAATGCCTTCTCTTCTTCAGTCAGACTCTCAATCTCTTCTTTCAGTTTCAGAAGTTCCTAAAAAGTAAAACAAACAAAATCATCTCGTCAAGATGACAGTCCCTTCGCAGCAAAAAATTTTCTTTGAGAAGCTACCTTTTCAATTTCCACCTTTTTGTGAGCTGTAGATGCTAAACTTGCTTTAATGTCGCTCAGTTTCGTCTCCGCTTCTCCAAACTCCACATCGCTGCGACTCCTTGATGTTCTCAGCAGTTCATTGAAGCTAGTCAGCTTCTTGAGAGAACTTTTCAGTTGACTATGGAGAAGCAATTGCAACAGAATCGAGAAATAAAACTCTTAAATCGGAAACATGAAACTTTACCTGTATTCGAATAGTTTCTGTTTCACCTTCAGTGCAGCTGACCGATCGAACATGTCCACACTCCGGTCACTATCCGAATCATCACTCACCTCGGCCTCCATTTCCAACCACGAGCCCTGTGGAATATCAGATACGCCTTAACGTACTACACCCCGTAAACTTTCAGGAAACGAAGAAACACAGATCGATTTTTTTTTAAATGCGCTCCACTTTTGAAACACTCTTTTTCTTCCACTCAAAAATGAATGAACAGTATCATTCCCTCGTAGTACAGTACAAAAATGAGGTCCAGGAATTTGAATTTCCGCGCTAAAAAAAAGTCGCTAACTGTAATCATCGCGAATATTTTATTTCACGAAGAAAATTCAAAGGGAATCTCATGCCCAGAGGTTTCCCGAAGACTTCCCCCAATCATAAATAAAACATGTACCAATTACTGCATTTCATTTCGAAAGGTGCCTTTCGTGAACACGGAGGAATAAAAGATTTCTTCAGAAAAAAAAAAAAGGCCGTCCATAACTTCAATGGTCGGACAAATGACCATTGCATGGAGATGAGATAAAACAATTGCTTCAACAGAATTTCTTTCTTCTATTTTTAGAATTACTACAGTATTACAGTTCATTCAAATTATTCCTCTTGCGGACCAATAAAAACAACAACAACCAAAAATGTTCATCACTTCATCACGTTAGTGCGTCTCCTCGTGACCCGGACACTCGTGCCCGGTGTATGAGCCCCATGATGGTGGTGGTGGTGACTCGACAAGGACGACAGGATACTTCCCGAGGTGGTGGCGGCGGCGACGGCAGCACTCCTTGAGTCGCCACCGCTGCCCTGAACCACGCCGGTGTCCAGGTACTGCCTGTTGGTCTCAATGCACATCAACGCGTGGTCTCTCATGGCCTTGGCTCGCTCAGCCACGACGCCCTCGTCCCCATTGTACATGGCACAGTTGGCGAACATGAGGTAGATCTACACCAGCCCCAAACAATCAGTGAAAACGTGCACGCTCACTCCAAATTGGTATAATTTTTGAATGAAATCAATTTGTGTGCAAGAATATTTTAGACTCGTAGAGATTTGAAAAAAAAAAATCACAGCCTTCCTGTGTACGCTGAAATTTAATACGACAGTTTTAAATCATCGAGCCAGAAGAAAAAAGGAAATTTTTGCAGCAAACAGAACATTTTTGTAATGTTTCTAGGTACACATTCTGCTTGCTCAGAGAGGCATCTACTTGAAACTTTTCTGTCGAGAGCCACAGCAAATTTAAAAATTTTAAAAGCCAGCAAGCAAGAAAATGGATTACATGTACTACAACAGTACAGCAATTTATTTTCTTCTTCTAGGACTGCTGATCTCTTTTTCTCATCCCCCCCCCCTTTTTTTTTATTTTTAAACACGCGATCACTTACCGGGAACTCGAGCTCGCCCAGGGTTCGGATCTCGCCCGAATCAATCTTCCGCTTGATCGACGTCAAGTCGATGGGCTGCTTGATGAAACTCCTGTAGTCCGGGGCCTCGCTCTCCTTGATCGGCTGCAGGAACTGGTTGGCAAACTTGTGATTGGCGATCTGCTCGTGCACACCAAGCAACACCTTTCGGATTCGACTTCGTTCCCGCTCTTCGCTCTGCGTCGACGACGTCGTCGACAGCCCCGCCGGCGACGACGGCAGCAGCAATTCGTGCCTCGCCGTGGTCGACGACGCCGACGCCACACTGCTGTCGTCGTCGTCATTGTTGTTGTTGTTGCATACCGAGCCGGCATCCAGGTTGCGGCCAGCGTAGGTTCGCGGCGTGGGTGCAAGCAGGACCGAGATGGCCTCTTCTTCCTCCTCCTCCTCCTCCTCACTTTTCGCCTCTTGCCGCTCCTTGTCATCCGCACTGCTGCTACTCCTCCTCCTACTCGTGCTGCTGCTACCTCCTACATTTTTGGACGTCTTCATTGTGGCTGCAGCGGAAGTGGAGACGACGACGAGTTCCGAAGAGGTTTCTTCCTTGACCGAGCGACGTCGGACGCCGCGGGTCCTGTCCTCGTCCTCGTCCCGCGGCGTCTTGCCCACCTTCCAGCTCTTCTTGGACGGAGAGTGGCGTTTCGACGGCCGCAGACTCAGGCTCTCCGCCTCTTCGTCGGCCTCTTCCTCCTCGCTAGACTTGGACAGGAGGCGCTTCTCTGCTCGCAAGGACCGCGTGCGCAGCCCGATCGACAGTGGCTCCACGTGCGCGTCCGACTCTTCCGATGAGATGTCATAGGGATCTCGGATGTGGGTGTCGTCCATGTGCATGTCCTCGACCGGCGGCACGTTGTCCTGCTCCAGGGCGAGGAGAAAGGCGTTCTCGTCTTGCGATTCCACGCTGTCTGGCTTCTGGAGATCCACGTCGACTTCAGTCTCCGCCACGGCTTCTGATCCGGCGGCTTTCTCCTCCTCTGCCTCATCCCCAACTGCAGCTGGTACCTGCAACTGCAGCAAGAGGAGAAAAACATAAATTTCCACAAAAAAAGAAAGGTTCAATCAATCATCAAACCTCCATCTGGGCTGGTTTCTCATCTTCCTCCTCTTCTCGCTTCAATTCCTCGGGGACAGGCACGGGGACAACTTGGTCGTCTGCAGGAATCTCTTGGACTACTTCCAGAGTTTCTTCTTCATCACGAGCAACAGCTTTGCATTCTTCACCTTCTTTTTGAACGGCCGTTTCTTCTTCCGACGCTTCCAAAGGCTGTTCTTCAACAGCTGCAATTGAGTCTTCGGCGTCATAGAAAGTTTCTTCGGCAGCAACCTTCTCTTCTTCGCAAGTGTCTTGCATCTGCTCGTCTTGTTCCATCTCTTCATCTTCTTCTTCGCCTTGTGGTCTTTCTCCAGCTCCTTCTTTTCCTCCTTCCACTTCCTCTGCTTCTATCACTTCTTCTTCTTCCTCCTCCTCATGCCCCTGTTGACTCGCTTCTTCGCCTTCTTCCGCAATAAATGTTTCTTCTTCTTCCTCTTCTTCGGGCACACAGAGAGAAGATTCGTCGGCAACATTTGCGTCTGCCTCTTCTTCCAATCCTGGCTCTTCGTCTGTTTCCATATTTGTAACTTCTTCCTCTTCCGCCTCCTCGTCCTCTTCTTCCCCTTCTCCTTCGCCAGAAAGTGAGGCAGGAGAGTCAAAAACTGTAGCATGAGTTTGGTCTTCATTAGGAACGGGAGCGGGTGCTTGAACTGCATAATCGTGGTTTTCCATGGGTTCGGGTGGCTTCGGTAAAGATGAGCACTCTGTAAAGAAAATAATAATAAAATTTTTTTAAAGTTTGAGATGTGACAGTAATTATCCTTGTGATAATTAATTATCCGCTCACGAAATGGCGGGTTGTCTGCAATCTCGCAAAACCGCCTTCTCCACTGTGCCTTCTTCAAGTCCTCTTGCCGCCTCTTCAGGGCCTGCAACTTCAGTGCCGCCTCCGCGCGTTTCTCCGCGATCGGACGTCTCTCCTCCTTCTTACTCTCTTTCCACTTCTTCTCGCGTTCCTCAGAGATTTGCACAATTTCCTGGATCTCTGAGATTTCTTCGTCAGTCAGGTCGGGATGTCGTAAACGTTTCATGAGCGCCATGGCCTGCTTATAGCGCTCTGCGTGCAGGAAGAGTGAGCAGTACGACAGCCTCGTCGCGCGGGCCTTCACGATCCGCGTCATATGCTTCAACTTGACTTCTGTGGACTCCGACGTAAGCTGGAAAAAAAAAAACAAAGCAGACAAGGTTTCTAAAATGTAAATCCTCGACACATTTTTGTCGGTGGCAGATTAAACACAGTGAACTATTTTCGTTGTTCCTTCATTATGCAATACTAAAGCAAAATCGACAGCAACAAAAAAAATGATGGCTCACTTGCTGAGGAATCATATCCTGGCACAAGTGGTTGTAGTGCCGCCTGCACTCAAACGGCGAGAAGCTGTAGTCGTCCCACTCGCGCGGCAGGCGCCACTTGGGCATTTCGGCAAGCATCACCTTGCTGACGTCGTGCCAATTGAAGCCGAGCTTGCCGACGGCTTCCAAGAGCGACAAGGTTTCCTGCGTGCACCACTCCTCCATCGGCGGAGGATCGTCCAGGAACTCTTCCAGCATCACATCGTCACGCAGTAAATCGTCCTCCCGCACCAGCGCCGACATGATCTCAAGTCAGTTTTCGTCTCAACACAGGGATGAAAACGCGCGCTTTACTTTCCAACACGAACCCCTCCGTTTCGGGCACTGGGTCAAAGCATTCTGTACAAAGAGAATACAAAGGGAAAGACAAGCAGGTTTCAACTAATCGGACAGCAGCGCGGAAACAGACTTAATCTCCTTAATCCCCCCCCCCCCTAAGGAAAAAAAACGAGGCGCAGAACGTCCGACCCTCAAAGAAACCGGGTATAATTTTGTTTTATTTATTAACACGTCCCCCGGCGACACACCACGCAGCCGGCAAGTGGAAATCGACAACTGCTTCAGTTGCCTGCAGGGCCTCCAATGGTAAGTGTGGTGAGTTTCTCGCTGATGCTGAGTTGGGTCTTGGTCAGTTGGGCCAAGTAAATGACCATCAGCAAGTCCTTGACGTTGTTATTGAGAAGCTCCTCGAATTCTCCGGGGGTCATCTTCGGAACGCCGTTGACCAGGGACAAGAACCTACGACCGATGGCATTGTCCGGGTTCGGGATCGTACCCGATACCACTCCGTCCACGTACCGGATCACGGTTTGCAGCAGCACTTCCAGGTTGCTCACTTGACTTACAACTTCGTCTAAATCTCCGGACACCTGAAACGAAGAGAAAATAAAAAAAATAGACTTCTGTTATTCAAAAATATGGTATTGTTACTCAAATGTTCCAGAATGTCTCCCTTTATGACAGATGACATTCTAATTAGATGGTCATATAAAAAATTTACACAATACAAAATCATCACACAGTAATGCATTGAACTCAAGAGCAGCTCTGATGAAGCTCATCGGCTTCACACATGAGATGGAAAACAAATTATTCACATGTCAAGACCATCGAGAGAAGCGACAAGCATCGCTCAATTTTTTTTTTTCATTTTGAAGGAGGTGAACTGGTGAAGCAAGTTTCCTCAAGCATGAAAGTCAACCTCAGCACGCAATACCTGGCAGATATCTCCAGTTCAAAACCTAAAAAAAAAAAAACCTCGAAGCATATACTGCAGAAAATACTTTATTACAGTATTGCATAAAATTCCGAATATCTTCGTGTCTGTCAATAGACAAAAATAAATTCGTTCAGACGTATTAAAGTTTACATAGGAAATGAACAAGTTGAAAACACCACAGTGAAGCATCACACCGTGCTTCTTCTTCTGCTTCATACAATTCACAGTCGAAAAGCTGACGCACGTACAGTACAGGATTTGTAATAAATTCCCGAAGAAAATGTTCCATGTTGCTTACAAGGAGGGCATCCCTCAGTCTTCTCTCACCTTGACCATGGTGTTGGGCGCGATCTTGGTCCTGGAGCAGACTTCGAGCCCGACTCGCTCGCCCTCGGAACTGACAATCTCCAACGGCACGGGGGCGAACATGGTGCCGGCCGTGCGACCTGGAACGCCCATGGGCACACTCACAAACGCCTTGGCGTCCATCTGGTCCGCGGACAGGGTCGTGTCCACCGTCACGTGGACGGGGTTGGCGCACTCGCGCGAGTAGTACTCGTGGATCAGCACGTCCAGGTCGGTGATTTCAGGCCCGGTCGCGAACCAGCCCACGATCACCTCGTTCGGGTTCACCTGCCGAAAAGACAAGGAAGGACCACTGCTTCGTCACTCGAGACAAGGAAACCAAAAACAATCATTCGCATTTTCACTAGACCAATCACTTATTCATTTTTATGTTTTGGTTACGTTGTCGGCACCATGTATTGTGTTCATTTCTCAAGTAACATTTATAAGTTCTTTTCTTTGAAAGCAGTTACCGGTGGTGCACCGAATCCAAATAAAAGGAAATCAAATGAAATATCACGCAAACTGCATATAGGTAATTTTAAAATAAAATCACAATATGCAATAGCCTTTAATTCACAAAGACAGGGGTAGGAAAACCCCTCTCAAAATAGCAAATAATGGAAATATGGATGAATAAAAAGTACTTCATTTTCATGCGATTCTTTTCAAACAGAGAAACTCGACAGGATCACCACCAATAATAGAAGATCTGACGCCACTGGAATCATTGATTAAGCGACAAAAGTCTGATCTAATCCGATACAGTAGTTGGATAAAAATCAATAAAATTATTTCTCGTATGGAGTTTCAAAATTATTCTCTACCTCAGACACAGCTCAAACGTGCATGCAGAACTCATAGAGCTGCACGTCACAGACTAACAAAATGACAAACATCACAGATTCCGCATTCAGTATACGTGAGAAGTAGAAGGAGAATAAACCCAACGAACGATTTCTGCTTGTCACAAGAACACGCTTTGGAAGCTGGCATCAAGACACGCCAATAAAAAACAAGAGCTGGCGAGGGAACTTGCAACTCACCTTCTGGTGCAAGTCGTACAAGTCCTTGGCAAAGTCCAGCTCCAGGGCCACCTCTTCGCCGGTCTCGCTGTGCGGGACGCAGAAGCAATTGGTCACCTCGACGGCGCCCCGCTCCACGGCGGTGCCGAGCAGCGTCCCGATCACTCGCTGCGCATTCTCCGGACGTCGCTCGTACGTGTCCACGATTTGGAAAAACACCACCGGGTGCACTTTCACCGTCGTGTACATCGACATTTCCGCAGCCGAACAACACTCCTTCCTCTTTTTTTTCCTTCAACCTAACGCGAGACAAATAATCGCATCAATTTCAACTCTAAATTGCATTAATTTCCACACTCGCACGAAATTTAAACTCGGCTGACACGGGGAATCTTCTGCATCCAAGATCACGTTTTCAAAATCGTGCAACCTTTCTCTTTCGTATAAATCGAGCAACTAACACACGCTTGAACGCACCTCACAGTTCACACCAGAACCACTTGAATTTCTCAATTTCATCGCGCCAGAATTTATTTCTTTTTTGATGAATAATCCGCGCATTTTGCGAAAAAGTCCAGCTTTGAAACTTTTCAATTTCTCAAGCTTTCGGCATGAGCCAGGGTGAAGCGATTTCAAACATTAATAATAAATAAAAAAAAAAGGAAGGATGAGGATTTGGCACGGACTCCAACTCATGTAGATTCGAACATACATGCAGTATATTCGAAATCCAAGAGATTGGTCTCCTGCAAGTTACTCTCCTGTAACTTTCCAAATGAATTTATTTCAGGAGTAATGACCCACTGATTGATTGCACGGATGGATAAGCCAGTCGAAAACACAGGAGATGAAATGAACATGGCTGGCGAAAGAACGTACAAGTTTGAAATGACTCCAAGAATAAATTGGTGGAGAAAGTTGGACAGGGCAAAAGCATGCAAAAACAAAAAAAAAACTAAGAAGAGCTGGACAGAAATCTTCCGCACCTTGCACACATACTCATCCCTTTTCGGGGAGAGCCAAGTATCACAATGTCCCTGCTTTTACCTCTGCGCAATGAAAACAAACCCCCCTAAAAAAACGAAAATGCGCAGAGATGTAACTTGTGGATGGATCAAATCACCAGCAACAGGAAGAACACTTTAAACTTGTCGTAAGTCTTTCCAAAACGCGATCGGGGGAAAAACAAACAAAACAAAGAGTTCATCATCCCTTAATCTTAAATGTGCCGCCAATTGTCGGCCGTCAAAGCAACTCAACAAAACCAGCCACTGGGCCAAAACAACGAGGAACGGCTCGAGTTCCGCGAAAAACATCAAGTATAAAAATTAGGCAGCTCGGGGCACTTGCAAATTTTCGCGCCCCGTTCGAGGAAAACGAAACGAGGGGGAGGGAGCACGACCAGCATTCGAGCGCGCGTCAGACAACTACCGGCAATGAGCAAGTTCATCCAGTTCATGACGAGTAAAGCCAACTCGTGCGCACCGTCTGCTTGGAATTTCAAATCTGACAAGCTTTTTAAAAGCCTTGACTTGACTAATGCCTTCAATTAAGCTTAGCATCTTCGGTTCCAACTGTCACATCTAATCCTCGCAAGTCAGCGGTCTGGTGACGAGAACTTACTCATTGCGGCTGAATCACGGTTAAGAAGGATTTGTGGTCCGGGGAAACGATAAAATTTGTTGGAAAAAAAAAATGCATAGTTTTCGAGAAAATAACGATCAACCCCGCCTCGAGCCAGCCCCAGATGCGAGGGTGTCGGACCGGCGGTACAGCAACAAGTAAGGCACTCGAGAGGACGACGACGACGATGCAGAAGTGGACGACGCCGTCGTGGGGCCCGTTTGCAGGGCAGACAAAGGCTCGACCTGAGCGTCGTCGTGGCGCAGGAACTCGCCCCAGGCCGGGTGATACACGTCCGCAATGTAGTGGCCCTTGGTCGCCTCGGCACCTTCGTGCCAAATGACGGCGGCGAGGCGGTAGAGGCGCTGCGCGAATCCGTAACGAGGTTTCGACGTCTGCGACAGCCATTCGCGACGGATCTCCAGCTCCTGTCCAAACGAGAACTTCTTCTGCAGCTTCCGACAGCCCCGGTCCCCGCCCAAGGACCGCTCGTACAAGAACATCTTGAGTTGCAGAATCAAAACCTACGAAGAACGACACGATGTGAATAAAATTAAAGAAACAAACAAAGAAACTGGGTTCAATTAGATTTTTTTATGTAGGCTTTTTTTTAAACCCCCGAATGCGTCTCGCATCGGCAGAACATAGGTCTTCCCGATTCCTCAATATATCACCAACCTCACTCGGCATGAAAATGGTTTGATCACAGGAATCTATTGCACGGTAACTCACTTTGTGGACATGCAATAAATTTCAAAAGTAATACTGAATTAAATTTCAAGCGAAGTACAGTACATAAAAAAAATGATGACGCGGGACAGTCCTTATTTCAAAATTTAAAAAAAAAATTTTTTTTACTGCAAGACGAATTTCTTCAACATGCAAGTGCAGTACATCACTGTACTGCACAGACATTCCTGACTCTTCCATGACGGAATGAAATTGAAAATATCGGGCACACCGTACCTGCGGAAGAGCCTCCAGGACCAACTGATGAGTACGGTCCACCCCGTCTACGTGCTCCACCTGACTCGTCACCATGGCCTGAATAGCATCCTCCACCGTGCCGACGCCTTCGGCCTGGATGTCCAGTGGCAAGCAAAAGAAGGGCTGCAGCGAAGCCGACGGCATCAAGTGGGACACAGACACTATTGTTCGGATCTGGCCCTGAAATACTTCGCTGATAGCAGACGGCTCGGAACGGGCGACGCGCGTGATGAACGCCTTCTTCTTCGGGCCCTGCGTGACCCAGTCGTCGTCGTCGTCATTCTCGTCATTGTCCATTCCACTTTTGGCATCGTTGTTGGTCTTGGACGTCGGATCGCCTTCCCCAACGCCATTCACAGATTTGCTTCGCTTCTCAACTTCCAGGAATTCCTCGTGCAGTCCATTCAAAAGGAAGCTCATGAACTCTTCAGCATCTTCTTGCCTTCCTTCAACCTAACCATAAAAAAAGACGGGTCAGCAAGAATGGAAAACAACTCACCTCGACAGAAGAAGAAAAATGAACCAACTCACCTTGAAAGCATCTCCGCCGAGACGCAAAATCTTGTACACCCAGGTGGGTTCGAATGAAGGCCCAATGTTATCATTGGGCGTTTTCAGACCTCCGCGCGACTTGCTGCTGCCGCCACCGCCTGCTGCCACGTTAATCTTCGGCATGGACGGAAACTCCGCAATGAGCTTCAACATGCTGCACAGGATAGGTAATTTCTCACTGACGCCGGCCACGCCCAGGTTCAGGTCGACACCCTGCGACAACGACTTAAGCAGGCGGTGAAACGGTGGACACGCCACCAGGGCCTGGAGAACGGAGTTGACGAAGCACCAGTTGCCGCGATTCGTGAGTCCCCTAGGACGGTACCAGACTGCTGAGTGGTCCAAGGACAACTTCTTCAGACACACCGTTACCTGAATTCCAAAAACAAAAGACAGTTCAAATATAGTTTGTGTGTGTGTGTATGAGCATAAACAATGCTTGATTAATTTCGGAGTTTACCGAAATAAGGGGGTACTTCCATACAACAACAAAAAAAAAAGTAGCCGGCAATAAAAAAGTTTCCCGCCCGCACTCACCTGATCCACGATGGATGCCACATTTATCGCTCCCAGCGTCGGGTAACTGAAGTAATTGGGCAACGGCGGAGGAGGCGAGGTTGCCACGGCCGACTTGGACTTGATTTGGTCCCGCTGAGACGGCGTCGCCGGTGTTGGGGTGGCGCCCTTGAACAGACTCGCCCAGCTCTTGTTCTCCGGCGCCGCAGGTGCTGGGACAGGATCCGCTGGAGCCGTCACCGGCGGCGACGACATCGTAAAGTCGTCACGCTCCACCGGCGGCATTCCCGGCACCAACACCACGGTTTCCGCCTTTCGAAAAGGTGATGCGAGTAAAAAATCAGAGTAAGGCGGGGGGGGAATTGAAAATCACGGCGAGAGCCACACTCACATTTTCACTTTCACCTCCGTCGCTGGACACGGACTTGGCCCAGGCCCCGTTGATGATGACGGTGGACGATATCTGGGAATCCGTGCTCGACGGGGTCACGGATCGCCCGCGCTGGGACAGGAATTCCACTGCTGCTCTGTCCTTCAGCAGGCCCTGCAAACTTCTGCGCTGGCCGTCGTCCAGCCCACTCATATCCATGAAGGATAAAGATGCGTCGATTCTAGGATCCATGCTCGCCTATGTTCAATGAAAAAATACACGGATTACTTCTTAAAACTATTCTCAGGGCTGCGGTTCGAGCCCTTTCTTCAAGTGAGGCGACGTGATACTCCCCAGAAAAGCTAAGAAATGTCACTCGCGCGCGACAAAATTAGAGGGAGTAGTATTTCAACGATCCGACTCCGCTATGATAATTAGAAATTGGAAAATTTGAAGAAGACCTCGTTGAAAAATTGAAATGTCTCCTGACTTTTTCAGCACTAACCACTTACGCCCTATTCATATTCTTACGTGCCTTCCTGTTATATATTTCTTCATCAGTTTGCAACTAACCTCTGTGTCAAAATCGAAAACTTGTGCAACGACAATCCATCATCACATTTTCTCGTCTCGATGTCGCGACGACACTATTTTTCTTACGACGGAGACCCAACTTCACTTCGCCTTCCGGCAATGACACGCGTCGACATTGCACTCATCCCCCACCAGCGCTTTCTTCCATTTCTGAAAGGAACATGAAATGATTGAATCCCTGATGCACGCAATAACGAGGAGTGAAATTTCAACGATCAACGCGAACAAAACCGTTCACTAACTTTTTATTCATCATTTCGGAAATCGATTGCCCCGCTTTTTCTTTTCTTTCTTCTTCAACCGAGTCTCTACAATTCGAGGGGACTTCAAATGGATTTGCAAATACTCGCCGTAAAATGGAAACAAACCTCCGAGGATCAGTCCGAAAATTAGATAATATTCTCAATCATCGTCTTCAATAATGAGGAATTAAGGATAACTTCATAAGATTTGTACAATTTTTCAATGCGAAACGATTTCCAAACATTTTCTACAAATACGGTCAAACTCGAGCCAGGACAAATCGGGACAAGGTCCGCAAGAGAAGAATGGCAAAAATGAACTTCAACTACTGTACTTCTTCTTTTTCAAGGCGAAGGGCACCAGAAAAAAATTGGCGTCAGTCTTTAAAGTTTCTTCTCTTCACATTCTGACTGTTGAATTCCATTGCATTTTGGCACGGAACTTACGGACCAACCCTCGCAACAACAAAAAAATGGCTTAATGTAAACCGGGAAAAATTCGCATTAAATACGTGTAACAAATTTGGCCCGGAAAATAAATGTACAACTTAAATATGAACACGCTGAAACGTAAAAGGGGTAGGGCGTAGAAAGTGGGGAAAACCCGCGAATGGTGTGAGAAAATGGCGGCATCGTAAAAAAAAACGCACCAATTCAAGTCAGTCATTCGATCGCCGAGTAAAAAATTTCGCGTAAAATAAGAAAAATACAGACAAAGCGGTGTGTTTTCTGTGTGTTTCCTCGGGACACACACACGAAACAAATCCGAGGCACTTTTCCCAACCGCGTTAGCCAGCCGGCAACAACTCAGGGACGAAAAGAAATCACGTCTTCACGTGATCATTTCTCTGCTCAAGCTTCCCTTTTTATTCTTCTTCATTGTCGTCGTCATTCATTTTTTTTTCCTTTCTCACATCAAGCAGCACTGCTGATTGCCCTGCAACGGAAAGGAAACAAACGAAAATTAGCAAAAACAACAACACGACAAAACAAAACAAATTGACGCTCACATCCTGATGATGCAACTCCTCGCGGACGGACGACGACGACGACGTGAGCGAGGCATGCGTGGACGAGTCGCGCTTAATTTCAAACCACGCAATCTCGGCGTCGTTGGCGTCCAAGAGCGCCGTCCTCGTCTGCTTGCCAGCGATCCACTTCTGGTTCTTCATCACCAGCGACTCGGGCGCCTGGTGAGACGCCGAGGAATCCCCGCTCCACACCGTCGTCACTGCGCCGGCCTTCAAGTTGATCCTCGGGAACTTGAAAGTCAGTGGTCCGTCTCCGGCGCCTCCAGGGCCCGAAGCGGTATGCTTCAGCGAGTATCTGGTGGACACAAAAAGGCATTCCATACCCCCGAGAAAAAAAAAAAAAAATCATCCATTCCATCAACTCACCCCGTCATGGTCACATCCGCAGAGCCCTTGTTCTTCACTCTGACAAACCCGCCGGCGGGATCAACTTCGCTGATCTCGATATCCCCCGTGGCGCCCAGAGACTTGCTCAGGCTGTCGTCGTGGGTTTCTGCAGTCTGCATTGCCTGGAACGTGCGCTTCCTGGGCCTAGTGTCCGATCCGGCAGATGGCGTCCTCGACAACGGCCACAAGCGCGACAACGGGGACGACGTGGACTCCACACGACCCGGCGTCCTTGTCTTTGACAAACGCTGTCTCTTTGCACGGCTCTCGGGGCCACTTGGCGTCAAATTCAACCTGGATGCAAGAACATAACATTAATACAGTCCTGCAACTAGACCATTACGGATATTTTAAATTGTCTAACAGAGATAATATGACAATTGCGTTGACGCACTATTGTACAACCATCAGACCTTAAATTAACTGTTCTCTTCTTCAATTCAAGCGACCGTATATCTACACTACTCAATGAAAAGATGAATGCAGTTTTCAACGATTTGAATGAATAATAACTGGATAAATAAAAGGATAAATAATTACCTAGGGTGCTCCTCACAATCGAAAGGATCTTACTTGAACGAAAAGAAAAATCACACTTGCTAGTGGCTTAAAAAGAAGCGTGAATAATGAAAATTAAATGGCATTTCAGAATTGCAGGCGAGTTAATCCGCGACAGAGAAAATTCAGTACGTTCTTCACTCGCGTAAAAATGACAGACATATAAAACATTACAGAACGCCAAGTCGTCACACTCACCGGGATTCTTCTCCCTCCAGCAGGTTCCTGTACGTCGCAATCTCCATGTCCAGTCGTATGTTAGCGTCACTCAAGTCCTGCAACTGTTTCATCAAGTCCGCAATCTTTTTCTGCAGCTCAGTGACGACCTCTTCCTTCTCAAACAACATGACTCCATAACGATCGCGTTCGTTGGACAGTTGAAACTCCAGCTCCCGATTCCGGTCTTCATTGCGCTTCGATTCTTCTTCCTTCTCCGAAAGGCGACGCATGAGCGAGTCGACGCGAGACTTGAGCTGCCGTACATCCTCTCGCTGGCCCGACATCTCGCCCATCTTCCTATCATACTCACTTTTCAGGGACGCGATCTAAAAACATAATAGTTTTAAAATAATATAAAATGGCAAAAGTTTCGAAAACTACCGAGTCGTTATAGAATTTGTCAGCGGTTTCTCGGTTCCTCTCCATCATGTCTTCGTAGTGTTCCCGAAGTTCCTGCAGCTGGTCTTCGTAGCGCGTGCTGTACTCTTCCTGCAGCCTGGAGTCTACTTCGCTGATTTCGGACTGCTTGCTGAAGCGAACCTCCCGCAGCTGCTTCTCGTGGATCTTTTGCGAGGAGAGAGAAAAGGGAGTGAAATTGAGGAAAGCCTTTGCAGAGATCAGTTCACTAAGAATATCTCACTTCAGTGGTTCGACTAAGATCATCCGACAAACTCTGCACTTTTGCCTCCAGTTCGACGCGTTTCACATCGGCGGCGTTGCAGGCAGTGCGGACTTCGCCAATCTCGCGACGCTTGTCGTCCATGTCCTTGAGCGCCTCGGCCAATTTCAGCTTCATCTTGCGGTGTTCGTCGAGGGCGCGATCGGCGGCAGCTTGCACTTGCACCATCTTACCACTCAGTTCATTGGCGCGATTCTGGGCCTCGTTAAATTCCTGCTCTCGCTTCGCCAAGTCGCGCTCCAGTCGCTTCGCCCTAGGATCATATACAGTAAGAATCAACAGGAATTCTCATCGTCTCAATTTTCAAAATTGCACTCACGCTTCTTTCAGCTCCTGGTTCTCTGCGCGGATCGTGCGCATCTCCACTTGCAAACCCGCGCGCTCCTTGACAACGGTGTCATAGTGCTCCTTCACTTCATTCAACTGCTTCTCGTACGTGACTTTAACGGCTGTCACTTCCCTCGTCACGACTTCTTCTTTGGCTGTAACTTGAGTGCTCAGGCGGCGGTTCTCGTCTTGCAATGCAACGACGCGGTCGATGTACGCCGCGAGACGCGAATTGAGTTGCTTCAGCTCCTCTTTCTCTTCGGCTCGGCTCTGACTGGGGCTCAATGGGGTCTGAGATCCATCTTGTACTGCCGGTGTGGAGACGACGACTTCGCCAGTTTCGTCTCCCTCGGGAATCACCTGTGGGGTTTCTGAACGGCGGGAACGACCTGAAGACGACGGCTTACGCGGGGTTTTCGTTCGAGTGGCCATTTCTTCACGATTTAAACTTGGCGAGCGGAATAAATGCTCAGATACCCGTCACTAGGAAAGTTAACCTGCGAAGATGCACAATCCAACCACTTCAAAGTGTACAGTACTGTAGTAGCAACACTTCCGTTTACTGAATCACGACAAGAACAAACTGACACGAGAACTACGCCGTCAACACATAGGAATGACAATAATGATATCACAGGGCGACTCTTTTGTGATGGGCAACACTCGAAACCGTCAGTTTAGTCCACCTTCTCTGGGGGCTTAGAATCGTCTTCCTTGAAAGCTCCGATGAGGAAGTAAATGAGAAAGACGTGAAGAGCCACGACGCACACGACTGCACTAACGATTTCTTTCTGCGGCGAAGATATGCTCACGACGTCTGTCAAAATAATCGAATCCACGATGGGAGATAAGTATTTTACGCGAAAAATCCAGATGTCCCATGTATATACACACCAGTTAAAAGATACCTTGAGATGAAGAAAGCCAGCAGGGGCCCAACAATCATACAACCGGTCTTCCACAAAGCCGGATAATAGGTGGAGAACGGAGGGTTCGACTGAAGAACAAGACCATTTTGAGGAACTGAAGTCTACAATGCTCAACAATCACCAACTCACCTTCACGTTGGTGCGCATGCTTTCTGCGGAGGATTCGGGGGGTTTTTCAATCACACACTTCTGTATTCGTGTATACCTTGCGAAAGGACAAAGAATACCATTCTGGCCATCAACTTGGTCTTCGACCGGCATTCGCGATTATCCGTACGATCACCCAAATTACCATAGACGACGAGCGCAATGCTCATTTCTTCGCGAGGGAATGACGCTGTAGTTCGAAATCTGCTGACTTCATTACTCACTCTCCTTCGCGCAAACAACACCCACACCGGCAAGTGCGCAACATTTGCCAACGGCAATCACGGCGACCGGACACACCCAAAATGAGGCCAAGCCGGCATTCGGGTCTTCCATCAGTGCGGCCGATCGTTGAGCGGATAACCTTTGATCTTACGGTAAGGAAAAGTGGGCGAAATGGCGGGGCTTAAATGGTCTGAATTCTGAAGAAGAAGCATCAATATTAAAAGCAGGCATTCTTTGCTGAAAATCAGATTATTTTATTTTCATCATTTTCCTGATAACGTACGTAAATTACAATTCTAAATAAATTAAATTGCATAGGTTCTAAGATCCTTGCCATAAATTTATTGAACAAGTTGCAGTTGTCTGAGGAATTCGTATACTGTGCTTCAGTACAATACTGTACACACTATAATACACTATACTTCCAACACTATACACTATAATAAAACACTATAATTTCAAAATTGTAATGCTCAATTAATATACTGTATAATAAACAACGATGGTTTAAGTTTTTCAAAAATTGAATTTAATTTTTTCCAAAGAGGCGTTCTGGGTGTCATAAATGTTCCCTGTGTAGCAGGATTATAGTATCTGTTAGCCAGCAGGACAGCAAATAACTATTCTGAAGTGCGTGTAAAGCTCAGGAATTGCCCCGAAAGCTCCGCCTTTTTTCGTCGGAAAAGCACATTCGCCCAAAAACTCTTGGCTAAGACTCATTTGCGGAGAGCTGCAGGGGCACCAGACGAGAGGCAGACTGCAGTTCACGAGGGAGACACGGGCCCAGCGATGGATAATTGATTGTGTGTAGATGTCGCTGTACGATGCGCAGTGTTGAGTTGAACTGACCCTTCATGAACGATTGTGTGGCTTGTTCGTTCTGTGGCCAAAAGGTAATAAAGACACAAATAATCAAGAAAATACGGTACTCTCGCCTGTATATAGGCTCGCATGATGAGAGAATCAGTGCTTTATTCCTAGTCCACCACCTGAACAATAACATATGGAAACGATAACATCGTCAGCATCTTCTATTCAGGATGACTCGTCTTCCTCCGAATGATCGTCATTCCGTCCCTGATTGGAAGCAGGATCTGTTTTATATAGTGAGAGAATATTTCGTGTCATCAGCAGCATTTATTTATTTTTCTACAGAAAAGTTTTAGGTTCATTCCTGCATACATGTACTGTATATACAATATTGTTACTACTGCATCTGCTGTATATATATATAAAAAAGAAACATCGTGAATGTCATTGCGATGCCGATTGTGCTGTATATATATATATATAATCGTAGAAGTGTAGACTAGCTGTAGAGTACTGTAATTGACAGCAGTACAGGTAGGCATATACCTGGTCAATTCGTGGATCCTCCTTCAGGAATCGATTGAAATCCTCCGTGTCCTTGGCGATTCTTCTTCCCTTTTCCGTGCCCAGGTCGAAAAACATGCCGCACCCGAACAAGGTGTTGTCCACAAGAATCAACCCGTCCGGGGACAACAAGTGATCCAGCACAATCTGCAAAATATATGATGGGTGAATCCTTGCTGCTGCTGACTATGTATACATCAGTACTGTACAGTACTGTATTTGGTTACTCATCAGACTGGATATGATTTGAGAACATAATAATCTCCCTCATCAACATACATTGACATATTTCTCGTAGCTGGCCTTGTCAGCATCAATGAAGACCAAGTCGAACTGCTGTTTGCCCTCGTCCACCAACTGAAGAAGCGATTCCAATGCCGTTCCTGTATATATACAGCAACAGATGTTGTAGATATAACAAAAGAAGAAGAAAATAAGCAACGGAGCATCATCATCATCATCAATAACAGCTGCTGGTGACATCTACTGTATATAGGCCCGTTCTGCTGTACATCAGGGCCTCAATGCATATTAGCAGTCAATTGCTGCTGACGGTGGTGATATTGATGTGATGATTTTTCTAGGTGCATGTTTATCAATCAGCAGATATTGACCATCGCTCAGCTAGCAGCAGAATTGTAATTCAAGATGCGTCTCATAAAAAAAAAAATCAAGTTTTACATCACAGATAGCACATGCTGACAAGCTTGATTGATTGATTGAAAGCTGCTGCTTTGCTTGTTATTGGGTCAATGTAAGATAAGGGACAAAGTGTTCATAACTCATCATCATGCAAGTTATTATTCTCATGCACTTCTTGTAATTCCCTGAATTTACAAATCACGTACTGTACTGTATATATACAGTACTGTGTATAGAGAGGAAATGCTTGCTAGAATAATTCAAAAAGTAACAGTGATCAGGCAACGTATAAATCCGGTCACCCTCACAACCCCCCCCCCCCTCTCACTCTCATTGTACAGCAGTGCATGCAGCATACGTATATACTAGTACTGTAGTCTATTATTTGACCGTACCAGCATTATAACATATGCTGCTGTTTTCAAGTGTCATATCACTCCGCTGTACTGTATGTTAATATATGAGGACCGCATGATGTTATTGACAGCATGCAGCAGCAGGAAGCAACATTATCACAGTACTGTATATAAAGCCTCATAATCTATTCTGTATACAGCAGTACAGTACTGCAGTTCCGCAGGCATATGTATATACCGTACCTATTTTGATGGAGACCTTGTTGGCGTGGTGTGGAGGGCAGAATAAGGCGAGGTTTTCCGTGGCCTGAGCAGCGACATCTGGTTGGAGTTCGAGACACGTGACGGTGCCGTCGGCGGGCACGGCCTCGGCCATGGCCACCGAGCCGTAGCCCGTGAAAGTGCCGATCTCGAGGCAGTGCTTGGCTTTCGTTATTCGAGCCAAAAGTCCGATGAGGTTTCCTTTCAATTTCCATCGAGTGTGTAAGCATATATATGGATATATATACATGTATATGATCATCATCATCATCATCAAGATGAGGCGGGGCGGGGAGAATGGAATGACGAGACCGTTTTGTGAACCCCAGACGAAGACGACGACGACACGCACGCACGCACGCACAATATAATATATACATAGATCATCAAGAGACCAGCAGCAGCAGAGCATGAAAGAGGACCAGACAATAAAATGAAAAAGAAACAAATACCATCGTAGAGTATATGTACAGCAGTAAGTTAGTGCTGCAGTGCAGTGTGGTTCGTGCATGAGGCGATAGATAGATCATAAAATGGATTAGGGCATCAGTCAAAATCAGGAAGGTAATGTACAACAGTATGCATCTATACACCGTATTACAGTATTATCATTTGTATACATAGTGATGAATATAATAATAAATTGCCGTGGTACCTTCCGTAGCTCCGATCATTTGTCCCGCGGAGACCGCGAAAGCCAGGTTCTTGTCGCTGCAGAAACGCTCCCAGTCGAACTCGTTCGTCCTGCGCCGAATTCCCTGCAGTGCAGTAATAATGATAATTATACATACAGTGCAGTAGATGAGTTTCTAGAGTAGGTGGAGAGATATGAGCAATATGTCTGATAGGGTGGACGGACTTCTCGCCGGAGCTCACATGTGAGCTGCCGAATTTACGCTGCTCCCTCTTCCCCCTGCCTCACTCCCTGATACAGTATAATTATTCATCCGTCACATTATCTGGGATGTGTGAAATGGTTTCTCGCTTTAGAGCGACATCTACATATAAATATCTACACCACGGTGGGGATCTCTGCTGCGTACAGTTCTGTATATATGCAGCAGTAATACTGTACTGTACTGTACTGTACTGTGTAGTGTGGCATAGTACAGTACAGTATAATATAATACTGTGTAGCATTGTATGGGGAACAGTACAGTACTGACCTGCAGGGCTGGACTGGGCTGAGTCGAGTGGTGTTCGCAGTAGGTGCGGAGTTTCCCAGTGATGTCCAAGACCCTCTGGAGGTGTCCTCTGTTTTCCGCGCTCATCATCATCATCATCGCCGGAACTTGTTGCTGCTGCTCCTGCTGCTGCTGCTGCTGCTGCTGCTGCAGACTGTCCAGCATCACTCGGGCCACGCTCTCGTGAATCACGTCCAACATGTCGTGGCTTTCCAGGGGTTTCCCATTCTTATTGTTGACATTCTTGGTGTTCTCATCGTCAACTACACTGCTGTATCCATCCATCATCAGCACCGGCCTGATGGTGGGAATAATGCGCGAAATAACTCGTATTCAAAACAAAAACAAAAGAAAACCTGCCACAGTGTAATATGCGGGACTACAACCGGACAAGAAGAATAAGTGCTGATGAAATGCCGTGTATAAGTACAGTACAGTATATAATTTGGAAAGGTACGCAGCAGTTGCGTAGGGTACAAACAGTACAGTATAATGAAGGATAGATATATATATATATCTATATATATATATTCGTGGCTTATATCTCTAATGTTGTTTTTACTACAGTACAGTATAGCATAATAGCAGCAGGAAGAGGAAGTACAGAACATCAGCTATACTGTAAACAATAATACGCCTTCGTTTCATCCATCGGCACTTTTAATTAATGACAAAAAAAAGAACCCTCTCATTCAATCTTTTTCTTTTCCCACGACTGCTTTTCGCGCACCACTCTGCTTGCTGCATGTATGAGGCATTATTATTATTTTTTCATAGAAAATTCCAGGATTTTCTTCTTCTTCTTTCTTTCTTTTGTTTGTTTCGTTTTGGGTGGGGCACATGTCCCAGCGTGTGCAGCAGCACCACCGCATCTGATGCCTGATGCTGCATGATGATATATGTGGTCGATCATCGAAATGAGCACTCTTTTCAAAACCGGACGCGTGTTTCCGGTCGGCCATCACTTCCATCAGCATCAGCACGTACAGTACAGTACATTATACAGTACTGTACTGTGCAGTGTTTCCAAAATGTCGTTTGAGAATTCGCGAGCATCACGACAGTTGAAAAAAAAGGGAACACTGCTTTTTCTTTTCTTTTCTTTCTCAGCACTTGCACGTCATCTTCTTCTTTCTTTCTTTCTTTTTTTTCCTGCTCTGTACAGCAGCAGTCAATGGTAGGGATATATAGATGTTGAATGGAGATGATGAGGCCATGAGGGGATACATATATATACTGTATATATATATATATATATATATACCAGCATGATGATACTGTACTGTACGTATAGTTAGTACATAGTGTATATATAGTACAGCAGTTATAGGCATCAGTACTGTATAAATATACAGTATATACACACACACACACCATCAGCACTGATGAATACACTAAAACACTTCATCGCGAGCAAGTGATGTACAGTATATATACACCTCCTGCTGCTGACGGATATAAATGTCATCCTGCTGGCCCTTCATTTGAGTTCAGCTGTATACAGCAGCAGCGGCACAGAATCCAGCATTTACTGATGTATATATATATATGACCGGGGTGTCGAATCGTCATCGTCGTATCGCTGGATGGCGACGACTGAGTCGATCGAAGCATCTTGCGCGAGCATCAGACAGAGCACTACGACCAGTTTGGATGGATGATGCGGCACAGTATACCAGTACTGATGTATATGAATAACATATATATATATATATATATATATATATACGATGAACAGTACAGTATGTCTACATGCAGCATATGCATGATGTGCAGTCCAAAGATGAGACGAAGGACGAGCGCGACGAGGAAGCTATATATTCTAGCCAATTGATCAAAAGAAATAAATGATAAGAGAAGAAAAAAAAGAAACATTGCTTATACAGTACTGTACATATATACTGTGCTTTATATAAAGTTTATATCACGCAGTTTGCATTACACAGCAGCAGCTGCAACATCAAACAACTCGGAAAATAATGTAAGAATATAGTGATGAGCATTTCTTACTCTGCTGCTGCTGCTTCCATCATGTGTTTTCGCCGAGTCAGCTGCTGCATGCATGCATGCATGCTGGATGAGTCGAGTTACGTGAGAGTGTATATATACATATACTGCTGTGCAATCAGCATATATACCGTATATATAAACAATAAGGTAAAGATGAGGCACCATCATGCAGCCTCAGATCAAGACGAGCGACGACGACGTACGCTGCTTCTGAATAGCCTTCATATATATACGTATACAGTAATGAAGGTACAATAATGAGTGGAACAATCGCCGTGACGAAAATGCTGAATATTCGTCCTCGAGTTCAATATATGCATCAGTACAGTACTGTCAGTCCTGATGCTGCAGCTCAGTAGTACAGTAGCTGTAATTGGAGAAAGACCGCAATAAAAGGAAGAATATATGACGACTGCTGCCGCTGGTCATCTTTTTTCTCATTTATGCATCCACAGCTGCACCAACACCAATTTATTACTGTTTACATTAAACTCTACTCGGACAGTCATCGATCGTGTCAATCATATAAGGGTGAAGGAGAAAAGCAGTATAGGGCAACAATAATGCAGTACACATACTGTATATAACAGCTATGCAGAACGTCATAGCTGTACACTGAATACATAAAGATGACGCGCTGAAAACCATGGCCTACAGCAGTAGCGCACCCTATATGCCCTTCATCCCTTTTATTCTCGCCCGTACAGTACAGTACTGTATATATGTCTGTGCATGCATGTGATATGTGAGCCAGCTATTCGGAAAACGAGGACCGAGTGCCTGGTATACAGTGCAGTACTACAGAGATGCAAGATGGAGAGCGTGAGAGCTATACTATAGGACTCTGCCTGCACTCATACTGTATACAGCAGAGCAGCCCTCCTCATCAGTTTCCCGCGCACAAGCGGTACGATTGGGCACGCGCGTATCTACCGTATACAGTACTGTACTGCTGTACACGCACATTCCTTCCATATATGTACGCGGGGCCGTGTTGTTCAGTGCAACAACTAGCGAGCTGCCGCGCGCGGGAAAACCGTTGGAATGCCCATCGTGCACCAGTCATAGTCAGTCTCTCGTACAGTATATATATCTCAGCCGGACCAATTTCCCCTGACCAGTGCACTGTGCGTATATGCGAGATACTATACACACTGTGCTCCCTTTCCTCTCATATCGCCGCCCACTCGTCGTCGTTGGCACATTCCTACATTTTACCCGATCCTCGGTTCTTCGGTTGCCCATCAACCAGTGGTGTAATAAAGGCAGCAATTACTGCTGTGTAATCAAGAGAACGCTACACGTTTTCATCTCTGCGCGTGCGTTATTCTCGTCTCTCATGTCTTCGGCTTGAGAATAATATGGACGACGGCAGTGACGCGATTAATGATGTATCACTATCCGTAGCACCGTACAGTACACAGTACAGTGTTTCGCGCTAATACTGATGTATATGGAGAACACTGAAAGATAGCATGATGACTATACTGTACTGTACTGTATAGCGCGCCTGTTTCTCCTTCGCGGCCTGTTTTGCTCACCCTTCAACAGCACTCGCTGAGTGGGAGGGACAATTGAACGGCGTCCTTGATTCATCATCATCCGTGATCCGTGCTTGGACATGGTCGAATTAGCGGGCGCACACTCGGACAAGCTTGGCCCCAAGTCTTGTCTTTATTGATGGGCGGGTGACCGCGAGTCATACCGTATTCTATAAATAGGAAGGACGAGGGAGAAACAGCGCAAACCCTGCTGATTCACGCCTATAGAGTCCTCGAGCTTTCAAAAATAAGATTAAGATGCCATGCAGAAAAACACTGCCACACCGGACCCGAATACAGCAGTACTGTACTGTACACCCCGGTACATGATTGCTGAGGGAAGAAGCCCTATGACTTCACCAAGGGAGGTAACAGTTTTATAGAGAAGAGAACGGACAAACAACAACAGTGGATGGACAGCTGCGGGGAAGACGGTGAGAAAATGAGACAAAAGCTGCGTTCCATTTCGTGGGTATATGATGAGGGAAATCGATGCAAGGACAAGCACGGCGGGAACCTTAGGAAAGGACAAGGACGCGTCGCGTGACGCGATTTTCGAGTGTTCCTGATCCTGCTGTGTGTGTGTGTGTGTGCTGTTCTGTGTTATTGTGCAGAAAGAAAATCGATTGTTAAGTGGGGGGGGGGGGGGCTCTGTACAAGAGGTGCAAAAAAGACTTGGTAGAAGATGGAAGAACCTCAATCGTGAAAAATGCTGCATCTAGACAGGATGCGCCACCTGTTCAACGTACTGTACATCTTCATTGTCGCAAAGTCATCTATCCGGCTCATCTTTTAAACGAACTGTTCGGTGTTGACAGATTGTCCCCCTTTCGTGTCTCCTCAGTAGGGGCTCCTTGCTGGCGTCAGAACAACGCCCATCGGTTCAGGGCAAAGCTGCGATCCATCATCTTGACGGCGCGTGTACTGTATGATGCTGTTGCCCTGATTTATTTATTTATTCATTTATAGTCGCAGTTTACTTGATTAGGCGTGTTTTTAAGTTCGTATTCATTTCCTCTCTTGGTGCACATGCAGTATCGAATTAAAAAATACGTGGGAAACTGGCGTGGGGACCGAGGGGGATTGCATGGATCCGTCGTCACGCGAAATATATGGTGGAAAACCTTGTCCGGTAGATATATGTCCTCGTTGTTACCGCGTGGAAATAAGTTATGAATGTTCCTTATCTTCTTCGTGGCAAGCACTCAGTTTTTTCCTTCAATACAGTATAAGGAATTACAGTACCACGAGTTTTACGACTTTGACGTGAAATGCGTTATACTGTACCGAGCGTGAAATGCGTTATACTGTACCGAGCGTAGTAAAGCTGGGCAAATATAGAACAGTATGTGTCGGAAGCCATACGCGACGAGTTCATGGTATTCGGCAACCGTGAGTTTTTCCGTGGGAGCCCGCGCGGACTGTGCTATCCGATCACTTGTCCGTTCCTCAAATGTGTCCGGCGTGACGCAGGTATCGAACACAGTTCATGATGGTTTTACTTCATCCTCAATAAGTATGATGGAGAAATGCCATAGTGGTCAACAAATCTCGCCTCTTTTCAAATGGTCAACATCAAGGTGATTGATGAGTTCCTTCTCTTAACTTGATCAACAATGTACATTTTACTCAAATGATGCAAGTTGTGCTGTAAAAGTGTGAAGGATCACACTATCCACCCCTGCTGGGCATTTCTATTCTACTGTACTGCACATGAGGTTTGGTTGCTAATGCGGAGAGTAGGGTTGAGTTCCTTTGCCTCAAAAAAAAAATATTATTCTTCATCGATTACAAAAATGAAAACTTGTGGGCCAATAGACTTTGATCTTGATCTTTCTTTCGATTCTGTTCTTTAGCTTGATATAATGCTTTCTCAGTTGGCAAGTCATGCGAACATGTTCAAACGCTGGACAGATAATTGAGGGCCATTCGGTCGGACGAGCCATTGCCGCCTCTTCACAGAGGATGCCAGTGATGTTCAGCGCAGTTGCGCGCGAGTCCCAGGAATGGGAAATTTAAGGGCAACAGTGCTGATCGTGAACAGTGAAAAGGGCTGCCCAATAGATGATAAGACCAGTGCTGTGTTGAAGGGCTTATTGTTCCTCTTTCCAGAAGTGATTTCTGGCGAGAAAATTGCTGATAGGCACGCCTGAAAATATATTACAGTACTGTAGTATATACTTGACAGTACTTTTCTCATCAGCACCACACTCTATATATAAATTAACCTAGCCAGAATCCAAAAATTGGCAGAAATGAGGGGTTGATTGATTCGACAGTTCTAAATGCAAGGATTTTTTTGTGGATGCGTGAAAGTTTCAAATCTTCAGTTTGTCGTGAGCTTTTAATTGAAATGCAGCCAACACTGACCATACAACAAACTCCACATTGACATTTATCGCGCATTGTACAGGAAAACTCATGTTGAGTGGCATCATGCATAAGCTTGTACCATGTAAGTTATATTTTTGAACAGCTTACTTGATAAGCAAATTTTGAGAACTAGCACATGATACTCCCCTCTGAATTCTTTTTTTTTTTTTGGTGTGAGTTCATCCATGTACAGCAGTACTGCAGGTCTGCACAATAGTGGTGTTCGAAGATTTTCTAAGTAGGTGACAGCGATGATACGATTTAAATGTCCAGCTCAGTTGCAAGGTTCAGTGCATAAAAATATCCCTTCCCTTCAACGATGGAAAAGTGAAAAATCAAATTGTGTTACTAAGCCTTCTCAATTTCGAATGCTACACATTATTACTGCTTTGGTAAGTTTTCTTTGTGTATCGCTTGAAAGGCTCCATTGTTGTTCAAAGCAAAATTTATATTAAAAAGATGGAATGGGCAAGGAATGCATGTAGCTTCTGAACTTCGCTGTGTGAGAAAAACGTCATTCCGCAAACAATTAACATTTTGCTTGTGGGAGAGCTACCTGTACAATGCATGGTGTACTGATTCTGTACTGTATAGAGGCTGTACATACATTGCATGGCACAGTGTGGCCTTGCACCTCCTAACTATTGGTGGACATCACTGGCTAGTACGTGTCGCATGCTGGTGTTCATTCACTTATTCGTGCGAAAGCATGACTCAGCCTGCGCCTGATTACCGAAGAGGAACGATCAGCATTGAAAGTGCTTGCTCATGTCCTCCTTCCTATATCCCCGTATTTCCCTGTCACAGTATCTGTGTACCAGAATGGAGCGATAAAGGTATAGATCTGTATGTATTATATACTGATGTGCCTTGAGTTGAGTGATTCATGCCGTGCGGCGTGTTGCTTGCTCTTCATGTTGCCCTCTCTTGCTGCTGCGGTGGATTTTCGGTTCGTGTCAATCTTGCAACGGCGCTGGGCAGTGCATTCCATCGTTTCCGCGTGTGCGAAATGAACGTATGTTGAGCTAGGGCTATACCTAGCATATTATCGTACTGCTGTAAGCTGTGCGTTGCGTTCAGAGATAGGCTTCTCAATCGTTTTTGTAACAAGCACAACACCTAACGGATGGTGGTTTATTTTTTTTGGCACCTGCAGTCGTTAGTGTACTGTGGTGACGCGGATTATGCTGGTTCTTGAGAAGGCTCAAATGGGCGCGAAGTGTGTCGCAGGCGAATTTGTATTTTGGACATGAACTACAATGAAACCACCTGAGGTACGGTAAAGGGATCCGCGATGAATGATCGGCGGAAGAGGAAGTCCTAACATATTATGGAGCATGGCGTTTAACAGTAGGATGATGTGCTTGATTCAAGCTTTGTATAGGGCAGGTGTTTATGTACAGGGTGTACAGTACTTGCTGTAGTGTTTACTAAAGAATAAGGAAACTGTGTGGCTTAGCCTTAGAGACAACTACTGCTGTGCCCTTCTGTCGTCCCGCTGATTCACACTGCAATCCTTGTAGGCGTCAGTTCCCCCTATTTTGAGTAAACTGTGTTGTGGAGGATAAGTGGAAAACTGCTCGCTTGTGAAGATACGCCAATGGTCCTTTGTTTGGTGCTGAGTTATCGGGTCGGTATTCGAGCAAAGCTTATCACCCTCGCCGGCGATAAGGTTGCAAGGGGATTTTTTTCTCTCGTCTTTTCTTTCCGCCATGCCAAAATCAACTTTCCTCATTCTCTTTTTTTGTTGGACTAAGTTTGTTCAGATCTTCTCGCATCCTGATGTTCTATCTCCCGGTTTTCGGAAGACGAGCAGCAGGCGGATATTTCTAGTGTTCCGTTCCGAAAAGTTTTGTTGAGATTAAAGATTTCTGGCGGAATTTGGGCCGGGTACCTGCTTATTTTCTCAAGGAAACCGACGGACGTTTGAGATGTAGCAGTGGTGCCAGTTGAGAAGGGTTTCGTGGATGTGCGGTACTTGAGGAATTCTGGTAGCGTGAAGTGACGTTGTATATAGCGAGGGTGTTCCGTTTACATCGCGCAGCGAGAGAGTGACGATAGATGTGAATGGAGGTGGTGTCGGTTTATGTGTATGGTGTACCTTATATAGAACCATGGTATACGTTTTACCCATGGGGTGAGATTTCCCGTATTCCGAGATCATATACATGGAACTGCAGTGCCGTATCATTGAATTCGTCCAGAAATAGCGCGTGTTGGAAACGGGCGGAATTATGGAGTCTGAAGTAGGATGGAGGGCTGGATCCTTCGTTGCATGTGTTGTAACGTGCGTCGAATGTGGTTGAAGCGTTTGCTGGGTACCTAAGTTTCCGGGTGTATGTAATGTTCTTAGAAACCGTACAGGTTGGTGTGGTATCAACAAAATACTCTACATGTAAAAGATTTGATGAAAGCCTCTTCACATATTCTGAAGATTGTCGACTTCAGGTTAGGCTGCGATATACAGTACTTCGTTGAATTCAGTGTTAATTTCTTCCGAGTGTCGGCACAATCTCTGGAAGAGGTGATCTTGTGACACACTGGAACGTTCGGCATTATCGGTAATGCATCCAGCATGTATGCATACTTGTATGTTTCCCGGGAAAAAGAAAGTTATTTGTGAGTCAGAGGAGAAAACTCATGTTTAATCAATGAGAAGCGAGAGTAGTTGGAGAATGATTTCCTCCCAGTGTTTGTTATTCCCAGAACTGATGACGACATGCGAGTTTCCTGAATCTGTCTCTCGGGCCAGATTCTTTTTCTCTTCCAGCAGTTTGTATGTCAACAGTTTATAGAAAAGCCTACGGAAAAACGTCGGGCTTTGAACGAAAGCATTATTGATTGAGTTTCTTGGCATGTTTTTCCGTCCTTCCTATACATTGGCGGGATGTGGTTACCTGACTTCCCCGTGTGCTCCGTAGTTTCTTCGTGTCTTATGTATACAGTACAGTATTGTGAAAGGGTATCGCCGGACTCTTTCTGGATTTCCTACTCCGATTGGTGGAATATTATTCATAACCTTGGGGGTTGATGTTTGCAAAGGTTAGGTAAATTTAGTCGAGATTTGAAGAAGAAATAACGTGCAACTGGTGTCTGATTCTCTGCCTGCTGAACCCTTCGGAATTCCTGTCTTTATTATTGTGACGATTCTCCCTTTTCACCCCCTCTGCATGATGACTTGAAATCTGTCTGCCTGTACGCTGTACTGTATTTATGTGCGTTGTCGCTGATTTCCACGATTTCTTCGCTTTGCAGGAAAGTCGATTGAAAGAAAATTCCGTGGAACTTTGTAATTTGCGGCGCAATTAGAACTAGACTGGAAAGGAATTAAAATGGGGCGCGGGACTCGAGGATACTCGCAAGTCGGACTGGACGGATTTGGATCATGCGCCAAGTACATCTTGTTCATCTTCAACCTCCTCGTTCTGGTGAGTGTTGTGTATGTCTTATTGTCATCTTGGACCTTATTTCCTTACATTACGGTTATATGATGATCGTACTGTACCTCTATACAGTATTTTGGTTTACAGTCATTCATTGTATGCCTCATCATCCGATGAAACCACGTTTTATGCCCGAATACGTGCGGTTATACATAGAGACTTGTTGGAGTAGATTCCACAATCATCGTCTCAATCTATTTTTCCGTGCCCGTTATTGTGATTTCATTCAGTCAATCAACTTGTTTCATATCCTGATAAGTGCCCATATTAGGCGAAGGAGCAACTTTTATTAGTACAGTATTGGTGCTGGTGAAGGCAGAGAGACTCGCACAGGTTAAGAACCACGTCAAACTTGATCAATGCGTAATGGCTTATTATATTTGGTGGTGGAAATCCTTCAAAAGTGTGTTGAGGATCATTCGAAATATATTTTTTTCTTGATGCTGGGCATCTTTGGTGTACAAGCGTTCCTGATGTGAATAAAAACAGGTTTCTTTTCTCCATTCTTTTTCTGGTGGTAGGTGGGAGGATTGGCAATCACGATACTCGGAGCAATCGCAGTTGCAACAGATGACTACCACGTCTTCCAAGACTTCTCGGACAACAACCTGTTCAAGTCTGCTGCCTTCATGCAGATCGTGGTGGGCTCGGTGATCGTGCTTTTTTCCTTCCTGGGCTGCTGTGGGGCCATCAAGGAAAGCAAGGCCATGCTGCTCACGGTTTGTTGCTTTCCTTGCATTTCTTTACCCACTATACTGTACAGTACAGTACATTATAATGTACAGTATAGTAGATGAGCGCAGGATGTGTGATTCTCACACTGCAGTACTGTGTTCTGCATATGGTTCTCGATTGTCCATCGATCATATCCTGCCGACGTACATTAATTGCGGAATAATGGTTCATTTACCGTGTTTTATTAATGGTTGAAAGTATATATGCTGTACTGTATACTGTACTTGCAGATGAACCATTTACAACGCTGGTTTTTAAATCTATTTATTCAAACTAACATTTCACGCATGCGTGAATGCATCATGTATTGGAATAGTTGTTGACAATCCGTTTTAATTTGCCACGGGGTTCCATGCTGATCCAGTTAATTGAGTTTCATTGTTACTTGATAATACTGCCTCACTTACATTGTATGTCTTCCGCCAATTAGCTTCATTACTACGGGATTCTGTGTCTCTTTCATGTCTAAGCATCATCATGAAGTGAAAATCTCCGGTTTAAGTTATTATTAGATGCTGTAACTTTATTTGCGTGTATATGCTGTAAGCGTGTTTTCTCGCTTCCTTTTAATGGTTGACTATCGAATTAAAATGCTGCACGATAGTTTACTGTCAATTCGATATCTAAGTGTTCGAGTCATTGAAGCGCGGTGATAACATTTTTCAATTGTTCTTCTGATTTAATTCGGAAAATCCCTTCGTATTTTTGTGAGTCAATGATTCTGACTCACGGTATTCTGAATAATTTGCTCGTCTCTGAGTCACGCTGCATATTTTCTTTCATCTCGTATTTTCGTTGACGCGAAACAATGGCGGACTGGAACGAGCCCCAATAACCGGGGAATGAATTTTAATGCCGTAGGTATTAATAGGGAATGCACTTGCGCGGAACAGCACTTTGTAAGCGGTATCTGCAGTACTGTAAACGTTTTTGGGCCATCATCGTCGTATTCATTAATTTTTACCAATTTCTGGAACCTGCCTGGAATTTGCTGGTGCTGTACCCCGACGTCGTGGATGCCTGATGACGACGAGGAAACGAAGTTGTCCAAGTTTGCCCCACATCGTGTTTTGAATCAGCGAGGAAGCTTGATTGAGTACAGTATAGAGAGGAAAAAAAGTTGAGAGATTCCGTGTGAACGTATGTGATCAGGTTTCCTGCTTGCCGAGAACCCCGTGAGTTGTTTCTTTTAGTGTGGGTAGGTGTCAGCGCTCGCTATGCACATACAGTACTACAGTACTGTATGTCGCAACCCAAGTAAGCGTGTCAATGATAGTGATTCATCATTTATCACGAAGTTCGAAGTCGTCGCAAAACTGCAATGCTGTATACTGCATGTACTGCATCTTCCTACATGATTACCGTACTATACATCAAGTCCATGATTATTATGTGAACCGATTTCTGCTCAGCAAAAAAAAATTAAATATTGGCTGGACAACCGAGTTAATTGGTCATATATGAAGGGTTTTTATAATTGTTAAATTGATTTGTGCGGTATTTGTTTTTGTTTTTTTTTCGCAGTATGGAGTTCTCACATTGCTCGTGCTGATTGTGGTCGTGGCTGCGGCGGCCGTTGCCATCTTCTACAAGGACGACGTGGAGGACGCCGTGCGGAAAGAGCTCAAGAAGAAGATGCAGATGTACGGAGCCCCGGGAGACTCGGCCACTCAGGCCTGGGACAACTTGCAGAAACAAGTCAGTGCAAATTATTGGTGTTTGGTGGAAGCTTGCTTATATTTGGCTTCCGCATGACGGCCATCATCCTGAATTCCTTCAGCGAGAGACGGGATGTCGCTTCACGTATAGAACTTGGAAGAACTATATACGTATATAATGGCTGCGAAACATATGATGATGAAGAAATGTAAAGGTTAAATCGAACACTGCTGTATGTTCGGGAACATATATGTATGTTATCCAAAAATTGCCGACCGTTATCTTTATTGCACAGAGTGCAATTTATTGTAATGCGATAGTGTTCCATTACCGGGCGGGCAGTTGCTGGTCTCGCAATGAGCATATTTTTCGGTGTTGCCTCGGGTTACAGGACTCGATGACGAGTATATTGCATCTTCGCACGTTCGCTCGAATCAGTAATTCCCTTCCATTGAAATAATTCCTTTCTTTCGGTTCCATCCAGGGAAAATGTTGCGGGATTGATCAACCCGACGACTGGCTGGCTTACAATCTTCCCAACGGCCGTTATCCGAAATCGTGTTGTGAATCGGTGAGTGTAATATTGTACAGTTTGTACATCATCTGCAGGCAGACATATACTGCCTTGATGTCCTCTTTTTTTCTTCTTCTTTTTCTACTGTACGACCGGAAAACCTGTTTGTCATTTAGTATTCGTGTCTTTTCAATGTTGATTCATCACATGCTGCACTGCATATGGTTCGCAGGAATCGACTTGCAATCAGAATGATCCAGGCTCGATGCACGACAAGGGATGCATCAAGCTGATGGACGAGATTCTGTCCTTCTCCTCGGTCCTGGGCTACGTCGCCATTGCGTTCGCCGTCATTTTGGTGAGTGCTGAAATGATCAATATAAGGAGATGATGTGCAATTGATTTGCAGTGAACGTCTGAGATTTAATTTTTCGTCCTTTATCTTTTCCAGCTTCTGGGCGTGATTTTCGCATTCTGCGTCGGCTGTTCTCTGTAGGCTGCATGTTCGCAGGTGGAAATGTCTCTTCTTTCTTTCAAAACGATCGACTGTGCTGCGGAAATGTTGATTCTTCCCCCCCCCCCCCCCCCCCCCCCCCCCCCCCC